GGGAACGTTTTCTTTTTATTGTACACAAAACATTCGGCTGTTTACTTTCTTCCTTTTGGGTAATGCTAAAAAAAATTACCAGCATCCGTTAACAAAATTTTCCAAATAATACACCTCTCGTGAGATTTATTGTTGCAATATTTTTTGTAATACTTGTAGTACACATTTTCTTACCCAAAATGACAATTGATGATTGAAGGCATAGCAACTGAGGGTACAATGGCCTGGCATAACTGTGGGCTCATTCTAGTAAACTTCGGATCCTGCAGCAGTGAAGGTTGAGGACAAGGGCGTCGGAGAGCAGAGGCAGGCGGGGGTGCGGTAATTTTGCTCGTTTTATTGCAAATTTTACTGTATAATGAAAGAGATGTTCGTAACATCATTCCATACACCCAACACTCATATGTGTTTTTCACAAGGAAGATTTTAAAAATTTGCCACTTTTTAATGATCGTTTATTATTCATTTTTGATAATTCCTCATTTATTTTTAGAGGGTTATAATAAGAAAATTAAAAAAATAGAAAGTTACAATAAGAAGGAATGAAGTAAAGAGAAAAAGTGGAAAATAAGAAGATAAGAAATGAAAATTAGAAAATTTGTGAGATTATTAAACTGCGCGGTAAATTATGCGTTGAAAGTACAGCTAAAATGACCAAAACACTTGTAATCCAATTGCAGCAAATGTGATGGAAGTGCTCTTCCTGTATGAGGAATAGTTGCTTGTATAGAATTCTCAGTTTTTATGCGTTTGTTGCAGCAATGCAATGCGAAAAACGCATATTGACGAGAGGTTGTCTGTGTGTGTTTGTCTGTGTGTGCGCTGCGCGTCTGTACCGATTTTTCATCTCGAGACCCACAAAAGCTACAGGACTGAAACTTTGGAGACTTAATCTACATGCACGTACGGGCCCCTATCCCCAAAATGGGCGCCAAAACCGCGTGGTACCCGCGTACGAGCCAGCCAAAATTTTTTTCGGGTAAGGTCATAAATCGGGGATCTGAGAAGCTGGAAGGCTGAAATCTTGGAGTAGTGTTCCCCGCCCAAGCGGGTATCAGCGGGTCTCAAACCCAGCCCCCGGGTGAGCGTGGTACCCGCGTACGAGCCCGCCAAAACTTTTTTCGTGTAAACTGATAACTCAATTACCTGAGAAGCTAAAGGAATGTAATTTTAAG